CATTAACTTATTTATTATTTTTTCTTTTAAAATGATTTTTCTTAATTCTTCTGTTTTTCTTTCTGTTCTGGCATGCTCTAGTTTAAATGCTCTTTGCATAAGAACTGTCAGTCTTGGTTCTGTATTACCTCCCTCCTACTGGCCCAACACTAGCCTTGGGTCCCAATTTTAAAGTCTCAAGAGGCTTCCTGATTGGACCAGTTTGTGTCAGGTCCAATACATAATAGCTAAGGAATTTGCTAACACATAGAATCAACAAGGTCTATTATAAACTTTTAGCAAGGATGTGGATAAAAATGATTTAGAAAAAAATAATACACAGACTATGTATCATTCCAAGTTTTAATTCATTTACTCAGCAGAAACATTTGTACAATTTTATAACATTTTTAAAAAACCATTTATACAATTTTATATTTAATGGGGAAAAAAGCCTTGGAATAAAATTGGTACCCACACCTTCAAAGAGTTTGGCTCTTTGAATGGTACTCTTTTTTTCTTAAATTTTTTTTGGTCTTTTTCTTTTTTATTGGTACCAGGGATCAAACTCATGACCACACACTTGCAAGGCAGGTGCTTATGCCACTGAGCTAAATCCCCAGCCCCTTGAGTGGTACTCTTAAGGGTTAAGTTTGACTATTCAAATTGCTGGAAGTCATAGGATAAATATGTCATATCTCCTTAAAGTGTCCCTTTCATCAGAAATTTTTGGGGAAGTTTTATATTAAAACAAACATGAATGTATGACGGAATAGACTGTAAAACAGTCAGGAGTCATTTCCTTGGAACATAATTTGAATTTCATGGTAAAGATGAATCCTTTGTGGGAAAGATCCTGTAACTCCCTTATTAAGGGCCCTAGAAAATTCTATGAATGATGTCAAGGGTCTTATCTAGAATCACAATCTTTATCCTTGTTAGCACTGAAGTAGTATGGTAACCTTTGGCATGTACAATCTCTATGTATATTTTCATTTGATATCAAGCCAGATTCTCCAAGGGCTTCTAGATTCATAGATACAGGGGCAGGATAGCAATCATGTGGTAATATCAGATGCTTTCTGCACACCAAGAACATGTTAGGCTAAGCAGGCCTCTGAATATTATTTCTTGTGTGCTTATTTTACTAAGATAAATGGGAAGGAAGTGGGGGCATAGAGGTGAAGATAAATGGAAATGGCAAAGCTGTGTCTGGTTTTGGAAGACGAAGGGATAGGGAGGTGGGAAGGGACCGAGATCATGCTAAGAAGCGATGCTTAGGATGAGGCAAGCTGGCTCTCTTCCAACCGGATTAGTCAGCTCAGGCAAAATGGACTGAGGGTCACCAAGGTGAATGAACTCATGCCTTGGCCTCAAGGCTGTGCCCGTGACCTTACTCCATATCTTTTGTCCCTCTTTGGGGTCACATCTGTAGCTGAGAAATCACTACATTGATAACAATAGACCATGAACAGCAGAACAAGGAAATGAAAGTTTCTTATTTGCTTCAATTTCCTTGGGGAAAAATGATGTAGCTTACTCCTATATGAGAGGAAGGCCCACATTATGCACAACCCCGTTATGACACGCATACCGTGTGGGTGTACAGTGTATTTGCACTGGGTTGTCCCCCCTTCTCTGAAGGCATCACTACTGAAAGGGATCTGAGAAACAGTGAAGCTTTGCATGAATGTTGGACCTCTGTGGTGTTGAAAAGGACACATTCCAGATTCCAGAGCCTCGTGGGGGGCTAGCCTGAAGACCCCCGCTCTGCTTTGCAGCTGATGGTAACATCCTCCTCTTACTGGGTGACTTGGTCCCTTGAGCTCTGTTAAAGTGTGTGCATCCCTGGGAAGGGCGTTCGTTTTTCTTCATTCCAGTGTAGGTGTGAAAACAGAAGGGAGACAGGGACACTGCAGATGACCTTGCTTCTAGCTACCGCTTTGTTGTTGGATTTCTGAGGTCCTAGCTGCTTTCATTTGCACAGAACGAGGCCAAACCAGAATATCTCTACTACCCCGTCAGGCTCCATTTTCTGTGATGCTCTAAGGAAAAGATTATGTGGACAGAAGCACTTGTAGAAAGAGCGAGCAGGTTTCTACTCAGGGCAAAGGGCCAGGAACAGGCAAGCAGACACCCAAGGTCAAACTTTTCTTACATTGTATTTCTGTTGAGAGAAACCCCTGTGGTTGTATACTGAAATAACCACAGTAGTAATAAAGATTATTGTTAATGCCTGTTGTGTGCTCCTGATGTCGGGTTACCCTTCCCTGCATGACTCCTGGTGCAGAATTGGCTGATTTGTAGAATCATGGCACCTACACCCTGCATTAATTCCTGGGTTCTAAACCCTTTAACACCCTTCAAAATCCACAATGCCAGTCTGTGCCTCTAGGTAGGGGCAAACCAGATGTGTTTGGACTATCCAGCCTGTCGTTCTCACCTCACCTTTGATGTCCAAAGCAGAGAAGGTGACCCCAGACCTGTGTCAGAAGTAAACTGAGTCAAGTGCAATTGTTTCAAAGGGTGGGACGGCCAGGGGAAATGCCATGTCCAGGAGGCTGTGGGAAGTAGAAGTCAGGACCGAGGAGGAAACTGGGCTTAGGAGTCATTTATATAGAAGGAGTTGTTGATGTCCATGGCCTCCAGCTCTGTTTTAACAGAATGATGTGTACTTTTTATGTCTTATAATCTACAGCATGCATTAGATGATGTGACAAAGAATTACAAAATATTTTTAAAAGATTTGTTTTCAAAATCCTAAGCAAGCCTCCTCCTTGTCAAGTAGTTTGGAAGACAGTTGGGGCTGATTAAGATTCCTGTTTTGCTGGGAGCAGGTTTTGGTTTTTGATCAGAAGAAGACTGTGTTCCTTGTATATTTCTCCATTTCTACCATATACTATGATGGCTGGATTTAGAAGGGCTTACAGATTGAGGGCTTAATCCTCAACACAGAGGTGGGTGCAGCTGAAGGAAGCAGGTCATTGGGGTGCCCCTTTGGGGGTGCACCTTGTCCCCAACCCCTTCGCTCTCTGGCTCTACTCTTGTTCTCTGGTTCCCAGCTGTCACTAGAGGGACAGTTTGGCTCCACCAGTCCCTCCCAGCACCATGTTCTACCCTACCTCAGCCCCACAGCCATGGGACCACCTGACCACAGACAGAAACCTCTGAAACTGAGCCAAAAGGAAAGTGTTTGCCTTTAAGTTGTTTTTGTCAGATATTGATGACAGTGACGAAAACTAACAGTCCGGTCTCATTTCCACTTAGATGAAAGCAGTTCTCAGCTAGGGGGAGGTTTGGGGTACATTTTCAGTGTGTCTGGGTGCCAGGCAAGCAGGATAAGCTTCTCTAGGTGCAGCACCCCTCACCTGGAGAAGCTTGGTGCTTGGCACACACACACACACACACACCCCTATCTCTTTCTCAGCTCAGGGCTCTTCCACAGGGGCTGCGGCTCTTCCTAGAGGCCTGCGCTGACTTAGAGACACGAGGACATAATTAACTGCTGGTTGCTGCCTTGACCTGCTGACCCCTTTGAGGGAACCACCATAAAGATAAAATGATCTCCTGTTTTTCTTGTTCTCACTGTCTCCAGCGCCTGTTCCTTTTTTAGTAGTCTTGGTATTTATGTTTACCACTAATATTCCAGTGAAAACATCCTCCCTTCTCCCCTTTTGTTTCGCCCTTGGCCCATCTGTGATCAGGTTATCAGCTCTCTTAGAAAAATTCCAAATATTGGCAACCTAGACAAAGCGCCTTCAGCACCGAGGGCCAGAGGTGTGATCAGAAGCAGCTGACCGCAGAGACCCCTTTCGGTCAGTGTCAGTGCCGTCTTCCAAATCTCCTTCCTCACGTTCATTATCACGTTCATTATCCAACAATTGTTTTATTCAGCAGTTTAATACATTACTTCTTTGACCAGCAGGCCCGACCCAAGCCTCCCTCTGACTTCTGTGCTGTCATTAACGTGTTTCTAACTCAAAACAGCTGTTCCTCTCTGCCTCCTCCCCTCCCCATCTTTGCTCCTTAGAAGACACATTTCGCTTCTCCAGAAACTTGGGGGTGGGGGAGGAGGTTATATTTTTGAGTAAATGAGAATTTTTAAAAGATAAAAAGATTTTCCTTTTTCAATATGGACAACTCTTGAATTTTAACCCTTTGGATGAATATCTTTCCAAAACACACAATTTGTTACCTTCCTAAATAGGAAAATAGAACATACTTATCTTTTTTCTTGATGTCTTGGGATCATTGCAGTGAACAAAAGCTTTGTTATTCTACTACAAAACAGTAGGGCCCTGGCGGTCTTTTGGGAATATGAAGAATCTTAGATGTCTGTGATTGTGCAAGTTATTTTGTAAGCTTTTAAATAGAGCTCAGTCTCCCTGCTCTTTACCCGCCATCACCTATCACTGTGATTATTAATGTACCTATCTTTGGAATTCTTCCGCCATACTTTTCTCATTTTCTGTGTTTACTGTCAGCATAGAAGAGCAGTATAATTACACGTATGTACGTGTGCTTGGACGCGTGTAATTGAACCGTGAGGAAGGACTGTTTCCTTGTGAGTAAATCAAATACAGTGGAGCTTCTCTGTTTTGGTTCTCCAAGGGCCATTTTTGTTAGGGTTTAAAAACAATCAGTTTTACTCATTTTTCGTTTTGTTTTATTTTGCTTTTTCTCACGTCAGAAATGGAAAGTTGCAAGGTAAATGAGTTGGTGAAAAGTTATCCTCAAATTTTCAGGAGCCATCCATCTCCTTCTAGAAAATTCTTCCTCAGTCTCATGCTTTATTGTCCCTTAGTGTAGGTAGTGGTTCCTCCAAGGGGAGTCCTTTTGTGGAAGGCCCTTTGTTTCATTATCCCCCACTTCATATACAAACTATTTCACCATCTTTAAAATGTTATCATGATAGTCTCTAACTTTTGTTTTGTTTTAAACCCACAGGTGTAAAAACAAACTGCAAGTACAAGAGTTTAATCTCCCTCTCAACCTTCTTCCCTTTCTGTCTTCTTTGGCAAAGTCCTGTGGAAAGCGGGGTAAATGAACAAGGCCCTCCGACAAGGTAACCCACACCAGCCCCATTGTGCAATGTCCTGAACGTAAGTCCTTTTCAATGGACAGAGGTATTTTTTTTTTTTTTACATTGTTGACTTTGACCCTGAAGCTTAGCAAAGAACACTTGTGCAACATTTTCTGGATCGATTTATCATCTTTTCAGAGCAGACATGCATTTTTCTCATCATTAAGGGGAAACCAAACCCATCTACCCTAATCCTCCATGCTGCTGTGTTTTTTCCCGGACCCTCGTGTTATAGATTCTAAAATATTAATGAAGGGATGTGAATGTGATGTGCTGTGTCCTCACACCCAGTCCCAGTGAGAGCAGAGCTCGGCCTAAGTGAGAAATGTCCTCTTTTTGCAAAACAAAGTCAGGTTGCTGAACTCTGCTTCAGAATCTTTCAAAGTGTTTGTTTAAAACTCAGTACAGTCCTGCACTGGACTTTACATGCTACACTTTGAGGAGGATGGGGCTTTGTAATCTACATTTTAAACCATCTAGATGACATTCCAGTTTTTTGTCTACACGGCCAAATTTTACCCTTCTGACTTTCCTGTCAATACTAGGAATGTTAAGCTGAATTACTTACAGAACACTTACACTACTTCCACTCGATTACTGTAAGGGGAATACCTCTCATTTGCATAACAGCACTTTTTTTTTAAACTTTGCACTGTGTTTGCCTGGAGGAGCTATGTTCCCTGCATTTTGCAGATAGAGTTGAGTCCCCCAAAGCTTAATGACTTGTGTAAACCCCAGTAACTGTCCTCAGGAGGCAGGACTGGGTTGGGTACCCCAGCCTCATTTCACTGTGCCCGCAGTGCTCCAGGATCCAGGAAACAAGAGGAGGCTTTACTAAAGCGTCTCTTAGAGATGGACCCGAGATGAGACCGTGTCACCCACCCCCAGCCGCTCCGCGTGCGGCTGAGCGCGCTGCACATTTGCTCCGGGAAGATGAAAGCCCGGATGGAGCCCTGGGCAGGCGGCAGAAATGGGAATCTTCAAAACAAAGACAATCTCATTCCTTTCTGCCCATCCCCTTCAATTTTCTGGTCTTTTCCCTCCACTCCCTCTTTCTTGTAAAGACTCAAACTCTGAAATAATTATATGAAATTAAGTCGGTAAACGCCAGGCTCGCTTCCTCGAGATTGATGTGTTCACGTTTTGGGCAGTTTTCTCAGGACTCAGGGAGTCTATTATTTCTGAGCTTGGCTGCCAGAGTCTCCCTTCTCCCCGGGGAAGGGAAGAGTCTCCTCCTCCTCCAAAACCACAGTTTCTCTATTCCATGACACCTTCCCCAGGGCCCAGGAGAAATCCAAAAAGTGGATCTCTGTTTGTTTGTTTGCTTTTCTAAGTGCTCACGAATTTTCTTCTGGTCACACCTACCCACAGTTGCAAAAATGGAGAAACTCTCCCTGTGAGACTGAGTGTGAAAAGGACGTTTCCCTTGGCCACAGAGATGGAAGGGTTTGCAGTCTGGAAGCCCAGGGGCGGGTGAGGGAAACATTTGCCACCTGTCTGCTCTTATCTATATATCAGGATGAGCAGGTCAGTGGATTGCTAGTGAAGAGGAATCTTTTCATGCAAATTATATTGCTCTTAAAAATAATGAAAAGTAACGGAGGTGTGACTTTGCTATCACTTTCCAACTGTGTGCAGTTAGATGCATAAGAGAGAACTAGAATTCTCTGCCCTGGAGAATGGCTTGGGCGGCCTGTCCTGAAGCCAGGCTGAATTCCCCATGTCCCCTTGGAGCCTGCAGAGAGGCGAGCAGGGTCAGGTTCAGGAGGTGCCTGCCTGCCTTGACACATCGTTCCTAATTATAACGCCTTTGTAAACCCTGGCCCTTCTGCCTCCCGGAGCTTGTAAAAGGTACCCACAAACCTGGGCCTTCCTGCGCCTCCCTGCCCCTAGGTAGAAATCCTCTTCTTGCAGGAAGTGTAAAGTAAAGTTCAAAGCTTTCTTGGTCAAAAGAAAGTATGCCTGATCCAGTATAACATGATTAGGTAACGATTAGACCGAAAAATGTTGGGTCCTCTGCATCACTGACCAGCGCTGGCCCCTGTCACCCCTGCCTTTCTAAAAGATATTTATCATTTCCTCATTCAGCAGGGAAATGCAAACTCAAATTGAGCACCATCTAGGGTCAGTGCCACAGGCTGCTTCAGGCTGTCTGGGGATAAAGAGTTCTAAAGAGTCTGTGATGGCATGGGATGTCCCCTCCAAGGAAAGAAGTTCAGGGACAGAGCTTGAGGGAAAGAGGACAAAGGGGAAACCAGGGTCCACAGAGCCAAGAGCAGACCCCGGCGCTCTGGTGATTTTCTGTATGACTGCCAGACTTGTTTTCTTGCTATAAAACAAGCCCAGTTCAACCCATGTTAAAAGAAGGTTAAAGGGGACCATAAATCTTCCTGGGCATTGAACATCCATGGACAACCCAGCCTGATGTCTTTTACATCTGTTTCAGGTTCTCAGCCTCAGCTGGCTCCACTGCCTTTTCTGCTGTGGTAACTCACAAACTCCATTCAGCCAGCTGAGTGGCAGGTATAGAGTGTCCCCTCTGAGCACTGGGGAAGAGGGGTGAGCGTCCGGGCAGCAGGCAGGCCCCCAAGGCTGGCCCACTGACACCGTAAGTCTATACCCGGGCTGCTGGAGGGGAGGCTGCTGGACTGACGGTGTAAATGGCCAGCACACACAGCCTGCAGAGGCTGGCGGCGGGTGGGAGAGCGCTGGCTGAGGTGGGTCACACGGAGATTGAATTTCAGCTGAATTAGATCAGAGCTGTGGGAAACAGCTCCTCCTTCACACACACAGCCGGTCTCATAGGAAGATGTGGGAGGGCGGCTAGGGAGACAGAGGTAAGCAGCTGCGCTGAAATACCGAAGTCAGCTCACAGCAGCTAACAGCTAACTTAATTACTGTCCACCTCTCCCCAGCGTGCCGGTCAGACTCCGTGGACTCCGGGGGTTTTAGACTGAAAGGCTCCATGGTGTCAGGGATAGATGGGGCAGTCAGCATTCATAACGCACAGTCGGTTTGGGAGTGAGTCTGTGTGTGTCTAGAAAAGAGGAAAAGCATGATTATGGAGGTATGGGAAAGGCATGGAGCTTTTAGAGGCACAGCTGCTGAAGGCAAACTCCAGAAGGGATTTTGGTGGCTTTTCCTGGTACCTTTAGGGTTTGATGTTTTATAGCATTTCATTAACATGCAACGTGAGCTCTCAATACCATAACTGTGTTCGCTGCTGCTGCTGCTATGAATGGACCCTCTAATCCTCTTTCTTTGCTTAATAACCTGCCACCATTCCAGTGACCCAGAATACCAGCTTTTCTTGGGGAAGCATCAGAGGAGTGGAAAATCGGGGGAAAGTTTTAGAATTAAAACAGGAACACTTGCAGTCCTATTAAAAAGGGCAAGAAGTCAGCTGCTTTGAAATCCACCCCCTCAGCAGGGGTGGGGAGAGCCTTTCCAGGAGACAGTGGGAACACATTTGTTCCCTAAGCTGGCACCAGAGCGGCTTTCTCCAGGGCAGCCAGGGCCTGGCATTCTGTACACACTATTTGAATTGGGAGCCTTCACATGATTCTTTTTTCTTTTTTTGTCACTCAACAAAAGGCTGGCGGCAAAAATTCCTACAGCAGCTTCCCCTGAACCAGGCAGAGAATAACTCCCTTCCGGGGCTGCCCAGGCTCCTTAATCTTCTGGTGTGCACATCACTTTAGAGCCTGCTGCAGCCAATGAGAAAATGACCCCAGATGAGATTCTTCATTTGTTGTAATGCAGTGTGCTTTTGGCAGAATGCTCCTTTTCTTGGACTGAGGTGCTTCTGGAGTTTTGCACCATGTCTGGGCCTGAAGAAACTGGCCAAGGTGTCCCCAGTGGGATGAATGACCACCCGTCTCTAAAGAAGAGCTGTGCACAGAATAGAGACAGACTGACATGTGGGATCTGAGCAGTGTTTGAATTCTGAGGCATTCACCATGTTGTCGGGTTGTTGGGACACCAGAGACAGCATCTTGACAAGCACTCAGGTGTGGTTTGGGATTCCGAGAGACGGAGAGACTGAGGAAGATGCCTACAAGTGTGCCTGGGAAGGTTGAAGGAAGTTTGTGATTCATGTGAAACAGAATTCAGATTTTACATGCAGAAAATCTGTGGCTTTCCTTCAGCCCCAGAAGGAGATTTTCCAAAGCCCAAGACTCCCCCAGATTTAAGAACCATGGCTTTATATGAAAGATTTTCCAAAGCTAATTTTAGGGGGCCTCTGACTTCCTTCAGTCACAGTCTCCACAAAGTAAACTGCACTGTCTGCTGTGCCCCTGCCACAATGGTCTGGCTGTTGACTCACGCAAAGCAGTAAAAACAATACCCGGGAAAGCACAAACAAAAGCAGGCAGGGCAGGCCCACAGGGTGGCCCTTTGACGTGGTGGTGCTGGGGGTGGGGTGGCGTGGGGGTGACGCTTCTCCCCAGGATAGCTCCGAGGCTGTGCTCCTGCAGGGCATTACTAATAAAGAGAGAAGATGTAAATGGGAACCCCAAGGAGCCCCTCATTTGGTCCCGCCTTAGTAAACGTATGGAATAAGGAAGCTAGGCAGATTCGATAGTGTGAGATTTGGGTCACTGTGTGGGAAGAGGGCATGCCTTGTGTTCTATGGCTGTGTCTGCCGGTTTAGGGGAGGGCTTGCTGGAGAGGTGCTGGTCATGATGCATCTTGAAAAAATAATCAAGATCCCAGAATCTCACTGTTCTCCTTTCTGTAGCTGATGTTTGGTTGCAAATTATGCATATGTTTTTGCCTGGAGAAAGTCCAACTTTGATAAGTTAGTTGGTTTCCCAAAGCAGAGAAATTGGGAAGAGCAATTACATTGAAGAGTAGATGCTGTTGTTGTGGGAGTTACATGATCAGAGCCTTACGTACTTCATCTCAAGTAATCTTAAAACAACTGGTTGAGATAGGCACCAATTTCTCCCATTTTTTCAAATGAGGAATTTCTGGTTTTAGATAGTTAAGCTCCTTTTGTTGAGATTTCTTCTCTATCTATTGCAGAGTACTAGCACTGAAACCTAGATGAGTCTATTTCTAAAGACTATGCTTGTTATTTTCCCCCAGACAGATTTTCAGTGGGTATGTCAAAACCCAAACAAATATTAAACCTGATTTGTTTTCCAAGGTAGGAAAGCAAGGAATATATTTTTGCTGAGTGACTACTATATCTGGATATTATGCTGGGCACCACAGATATGCTATTTTGTTAAAATAATAAATTTATAACAATTCAACTTTTGTGGTATATACTCAAATATATTAACCACTTAGTTACATACATGCAAATTACCTTCAACTAGAAAATGACAAACTACTCAGAACTTTCCTAGGAAAGAAAACAGATTTTGCTTACCATTGTACCCTCTTTCATCAGTAAAATGCCTGTGCTAGGTCAATAAATAATTACTGGATGAAAAAGCCAAGTAAAGGATTGAGCCTATGCTGAAAACAGTGAGCAGAAAGTTATATTCCTCAACATGGGAGCACAGCACCCTGGCACCAACCATCACGCTATGAGTGTAGCTCATTACATACCGCTGTGAGGTCATGAGCCAAGACAAAGAAAGGAAAGAGAAACTAAGAGGAGGATTTGGAGATTTCATTTTCGAAACTTGAAAAGCTATACTTTGTTTTTCTAATGTTTAATTGTTTCTATTCAGAAAGGTGAAATTAAAAGCTCTCAGTAGTTTGAAATGTGTATACTGATGAACACAATACCCACACTTTCAGAGACTGAGAGGAAGGCAGTGCTTTGCTAAGTTTTTTTCCTCACTTGGCACTGGGGTCTACAAGATATTCAAACAAAATCTCTCCCCGCTTTCTCTCTCCATGTGTATTTGGTAAACATTGATGTGCCTGGGGTCTGTGGTATTAGGAAGGTGACATTTCTTTGTTTCCTGTTTGTTGTTGTTAATACAAATACATGTTAATCAAAACGTAATGCTTTTGGTGAGCCGGAGATTAAGAGAATGCACATTGTGAAGACAGCAATCATGGACTTCAACTGCAGTTTAAGAAAGGTTGTTCCTGTTCAGAAGTACCCTGAAGAAAATGCAACCATGTGAATTTTCCAGACTTGAAAGTACTATTAAAACCATAGACAAGCATCCCTCTCGAAGAATGCAGGTATCCATATGCTTAAAGACTAAATGTTGGTACTGATTCCATCTTAAGGCTGGAAAGTGTCTGCTCCAGAGTTTATAGATGGTAAAGTTATTTTTAAACATTAGCTGCTGTCTGATTTTTGCTCAGTCTGTCTACCATGGTTTCCAGGCCCCTAGCACAGTGCTACAGAGTAAGGAGGAGGAGACTATCATCAGGCTCCCAGCAGAGCGCCTCACTGCCCGCTTGTCTCTCTGCCTGCTCCACCAGTTATCATTAGGATCCCAATTAGAAGGTTCCTAGGACACTCCCTCCCTTTCTGTCTTCATCCCTTCCTCATTAATTCATTTGTCCACTTAATAGACATGGAAGTGGCCTCACCTATGGCATCATGGAAGCCCCCACCTGGCAGGATGGAACACAAAAGTAATTAGAGTGCATTACCCTTTAGAGCCTCAGAGCTCTGCACAGGTGTCAGGATAGAAAGTGGAGGAGCTCCCAGTGCTTGGCCTCGGGGCCAAGGAGATTGTGCTAGAGGAAGTCATCTGGGTGTGGCTGGAGGATACAAGAAAAGTTTGCTAGGAAAGGAAGAAATGATAGGACTTTTCTGACCAGGGAAACACCATGTGTACAGTCATGGGGTTGGAGGTGGGAGGGTAGAGGGCCTGCAAGGAAAACTGTGACAAACATAGAGAAGGGAAATGGTCCTGTCTGGCCCGCAGGCTGTGTGTGGAGCCACGGCTGGGGATGAGGCCAGATACGAATAGCAATTGCTAGCATTTCCTGAGCACCTGTGCATTTTCCAGGCACGCTCTATGTGTTGTGACTTAGCTGATCATTACAGTAGCCCCATGGGGTGGTATTAATATAACCTTTATTTTACAGCTTCACAGGGAGGGTAAGTATCATGCTGCGAGCATGAAGAATGGAGAAGCCAAGATTCAGCCCAGCCAGTTAGACTCCAGAGCCTGTGCTCCTAATGCCACTCCGGATGGCCCTGATGGTCTTGAATTTTCCTTGCCAATTGATAAAGTTGGCTCTTTCTATCTTTTGGTCCAGGTGAGAGCAGAAGTTATGAGTATGGAGAAAGTTTTATTATGTTGGTTTCTTCTTACTTAGGCTAAAGGATGTGAAACTGCATTTTGTTTTAAACCAGGATGTCAGTGCTGAGGGTAGGACCCAGAGTGGTTTTATTTATCACAAAACAGGACCTGGTACGCAGTAAGCACTCCCTAATATTACGGAATGGTAACATCCACTCATTGACCTTTTTACCTATGAATATTATCACAAAGGAGTAAATTCATACTTCTTTAGGATTGTGCTTATTTTTTGAGGCATAAATTAACAAAAATAATAAACATTTATAGAATATGAATGTATTTGGAAATCTGAGAAATACTCATTCCTAACCTCAAATTTACATACATTTAACTTCTTTCAAATTTACTAAACAATGGATTGTAGGGCATGTGCCAGGGCAAGTGTGAGTTCCACTTGTGTTGTATGTATTTGCTTTATCTCACATGCACATTTCCTAATTCAAAAGATTATTCAATCTTTCTACTCTTCTAGTGAAAACAAACTAAAAAGTGCGATTTCTTTTGTAGATAATCAAAAGTTGAATTTGCATTGGACTTTGGGGCGTCCCCCAAGTTGGGGAGAGAACAGAATGTTGCCACACTGGGTCCAGGGATGGAATTTGCCCAGCAGCATTAGTGCTTTCATGATTTCCTGTGTAGTTCAGTGTCATAAGCAAAGCTGTTCTTTCATTTGCAGGAAGAAAAAGCATGGTGGAAACCAGACTGTGTTTTCTATGCGGGCAGCAGGGAAGGCATGGCCTTGTGGATTGTGTCCCTCAACACTGATAAGCTGTGACATCAGGGGCCTGGGAGGACCTCCAGCTGTTCCACCTATGCTGGATCCTGGAGTGCACGATAACATTCAGGAAGTTGAAGGAGCCCAGATAATGAATAACAAGCACATGTAATCTCTTTCACTGAGTTTCTTAAGTTGTCTGAGTACTCATGCATCTCCAACTTGGAGAAGACTTGTTTTCTTCAATTTCTTCCTTCTAGCACAAAAAGTGTTGTTTAATTACCCCAGTTGGCCTAGCTTCTCCATAAATGCCTTTTCCTTCTAGAGTCAAAATCTTAAGAAAACCAGTCAGGACTGGAACAGATGCACAAAACTTGTTTTCCATGAAGTAAACACTTTTCTTTGGTTTCTTCTGGTGTTAATAGTACATGACACGTTTTATTGCACTATGAATACATGTAGTAGATAACTCTGGGAGGAAAGGTATTGTCAACCTCTCAGGTTACTGAAATTTCTGGAGAGTGCAAAACCAGGCAGAAAATGTCAGAAAAGAAAGCTCCTTTACAAAAGGACAATTCAGGGCTGGTGTGTGTGTGTGTGTGTGTGTGTGTGTGTGTGTGTGTGTGTTTATTCTGAGGAATATTTTCTTTTCTCTTTCAGAAAAGTCCAGATTAGGAACTGTATCTTTGCTTGACCACCTGCAAATAGATTTTAGAACAATGTAAACCCCCCTCAGCAGGATATTGACTCTAATGGAGCTGTGTTGACTAAGCAGAATGGTGGCTTTTTTTTTTTAACTGGAGGAATTCCAGATCTTTCCTTAGTCCTGTCTCTCCAGGGAAATGAGCTCTGTCCTCAAAAATCCACTGAGAACCTGAGTAAGAATGAAGATTTATGGTGGGAGGCACTGGGCGGAAGCAGGCTATCTGTAGGCTATCTAGAAGCTCATCTCTGTGTTACTGGAGAAACTCTCTTGACAGGATATAGTCTGGTTATCACACAATCTTCTCAAGTTTCATTCCCTTTCTGCTTACAAATGCCCCAAATAAAAAGAGATGCATTTCATTAAGACAGCCTTTCAAGGAGCGGTTTATGCCAGCTGTTGCAGTCTGTCTTAAACACCTACCTTTTCACCCTAGTGTGGAGTTTACATGTCGATAAGGGTTGTAAAAAAGGGAACTATAGAAATCTCTGCAAAGGAAAACCACAGAGGTTGGGTAGCCTGTGGGAATTGGGATAAAAAAGAGCCCAGGAAGCTGTAAGTTCCAGAACACAGCTCCCTCAAAGAGGAGACCTGAGATCCTGCATGCCTGCCTTAGGGGCTTTAGGCTGACCCCAAACACCAAGAACTGTAAACACTTTTCTAGGCAGATAAACAGACGGATTCTTGTGGAGAGCTGGTGGCCAAACAGAAGTGAAAGATGCTGTTAGGAAGAAGAGAACCAGACCTCGAAAATATTGGCTCAGCCAGATTCCCTTTGCTGGCATTGCCCGTCCTCACCAACGAGGAATTCTCTTACCTGGTTTCCCAACGTGCCCACTTGGGCCTGAGACACACTCTCAGCTGGCCAAGTGCGATTTGTTGGCAAATGACCTGTGAGGTTTTTTTCTCATTCTTAGATATGCAAGCATAGAGCCAGAGGTTCTCTAGGCTGCTGAGATAATTCTGGAAGACTTTCATGGGGTCGAAGGTTAGAATTAAGTGCTAAGTGGGGAAAATTAGAAGAGTGGCCCCAAGTCCTAAGGGGCCCTGGTGCAGCCTGGTTTGGCAGGTGGGGGTGGAGACGGGGCACGGCTTCTTTGTTGGAGAGGAAATAAACCTGTGAGTGGGAGAACAGCCTGCTTGCTTCTGCTTCTGCTGTGTTTGAAGTCAGGACTCGTGGGTGTCAGGAAGCTGGCTGCATCAGGTTCCCATTAGCCCGGACGGCGGTGAGACAGCAGTACCGTAGGTTCACACCATGACATGGTAACAATTAAACCCCTGCTACTGGTCCTTACCCTGGGGTGAGGCCCTTTTCTTCCTCACTGATGGGACTTAAGTCACCCTGGTTTCCTCTGGCTCGATTTCCTGCAGATTCCCGGTACTTCAAGTCTAATCTTCTGAGACCACTCATTAGACCACACAAATTGTAACAATTGTCTCCGATCACACAGACTTGTTCCAGACATCAGTGTGTCTAGGAGAAAGACCATATCTTTCTGAAACAGAGTTACTTCCTGTGTAGTTAGATTAACCAAAATCAGAGCTATAGATAGTGAGGAAAATATACTAATTATAGATCCATGCCCTAAAGCATACTAAATTATTTCCTTCCTTTTTTAAGGGTGATTTTGAGCAATTTCCATTTTAAGTGAGGAAAGAGAATATATAAATGACTGTAATATGAAGCAGAAAAGCAACAAGAACAACAAAATGTTGATGCTGTGGGCTTTTTCAAAGAAGAAAAATAGTTCTTTACAGAGAAGGAGCCAGATCAGAAAAGGCGTCCTTTGAGCTGAGTGAGTGAATTTGGATAAATGGACGTTGGGTGGAAGAGGAGAAGGGCGTTAACAGGAACAGAGGCCAGAAAACCAAGACACTCTTAAGGCTTAGTGTGGCTTTAGCGCTGAGAGAAGCTATGGGAGGGAAACTAGTCTGAAAGACATAGTTCCTGCCTTCAAGAGGCCTTCACTTCTGTTGAAACGATGAAACGTACAGTGGGAGGAAATCAGATGCTCTTTGATTTAGAATGGGGTTACACAAGTTGAAAGTACTAAGTTGAAAATGCGTTTGATCTACCTAACACAGAACACCGAGGCTTGGCGGAGCTGATGTTAGATGTGCTAGGATACTTACATTAGCCCATAGTTGGGCAGCATCATCCAAACCAAAGCCTGTTTTCTTTTTCCTAATAGCATATTGAATAGCTGTGTAATTTATTAAATTCTTGTATTTAAAAAGCACTGGCAGCACAGTGCACCTTAGCGTTTGGGTCCTGGGACCAGCTGCCTTGTCCCTTGCCTGGAAAAAGATCAACATTCAAAATCTGAAGTACGCTTTCTAATGAATGTGTGTCACTGCTCCAGTGTGAAGCTGAAAAACTGAAGCTGAGCCACTGCAAGTCGAGAACCCTGTGTAATTTAGAGGATGATTTAAGGTATGGTGTGATTAAATCCCAGCAAATACAGGTAACTTTGAATTGTGGTTTATAAGTGATAGACTTGTCCAAGTTGGATGGACCAGCTGGGCCCGAGAGGCAGGGTTATTTAGTTAGTGCCGAGGGCCGAGGGAAGGGCATTATTAGGCAAGTGAAAATGAGCAGAATCAGGAGGTCACGTGCTGTGGAGCCACAGTTCTCAAACATCAGAACCATCCAGGGCATGGGAATTCACATCCCCAAGCTGCACACCGCACTTTCTGATTTAGGAACTGTGGTGTGAGGTGCACAGAGTTCCCTGGCACCCGTGTTGTCATTCTGTCCAGCGCACCCAGAGCAGCCCTGCTGATGGGAGCTCCCGGGCCTGCAGGCCATGTGGGCAAGTCGGCCAGGACAGCTTACAAAGCTATCTGCTGCCTGCTCCCTTGTCATTCTTCCTCTTAATTTTGCATCTGAAAAACAGTATTGCGCCTCCCAGCCTCCATTTCCAAATGGCATCTTGGTTTAGGATGAATTATTGTACAAGAAGAAAAATAATGCTTTTATGCTTCCAGAAGCAACTAAGTTGGACGTGGTAGTGATGGACTGCGATTATCTTAGCCCTGGCAGGGGTGGGGGCCGGGTGCTGAGGGGGAAGGACTCCGAGGAGTTTAGGCCTAACCAGGGCAGCTTGACAGCTTAGTGAGATTCTGTCCCAAAATTTGAGAAAGTGGTTGGGCGTGTAACTCAGTATGAAGATTCTGGGTTGAATCACCCAGTACTGAGGGGATGGGAGAAGGGAGAGAAGGAGACTACTAAGTTTAAAGCTGGACATAATTTCAAAGGACAGTTTCCGCTGGTGGCTTCTGCAACAAGTTATTTCTTACGTGCCCTTATCTCTGCCAGGAAATGTGGTTTATGTAGATTTATACACTGAATGGCTGCTGTCACAGCCAAACCCCCTTAGAAGCCAGATATTAGAAACATTGACCAAAGGTCCACTGCAAAATGATCCACTTTTTGATTGCCTTTCTGAGGGAGTCACATTAGCGCTTCTCAAATGTTACATAAGCAGAGGTGCTCATTATTTTTAGCCTTTGCATATTTAAATTAAACCACCATTGTTTTCCTCTACTTTTTACAGGAAAAAAATCTATAATCCATATTAATAGGGGTGAAAAACTTCAAAAATATATTTCAAAGAAATATTTGAAGGTATTTTAAGATGTCTTTATTCTGCCTGAAATGAGTAATTCTATAATTGTCCTACTACATAGGGTTTACTATCTATGAATTTCTTCCAGAGCTTGATAGCTTTAGAAAAGTGGAGATATTTTCCTGTGTATTTTACTCAACAGCCAGCTCTCTTACATGCACTTAAAGACTAAGTTACTGTTTGCTGTGCTTGGTATTAAAAAGCACTTTGCAGCTTCCAAAATCTCCTGTAGTCTTTTTGACTACTGTAGATAAGAGGTGTGTAGTATGCAAATGTCAGTAGTTAAAGAATATCATAATACACACAATAGCATGATTCATATTTATGAAGAACTAATTTCATATGAATACCAAAAATACATACTGATTATACTGTTTAAATTTTGAATTGTGCCAATAAACAAAATGGCTAGGAAGAGAATTTATTTTTATAACAGTGAAGTAACTGTATAATTTATCTTTTCTTATAATTTAACACAGGGAGGATAACTCAAGTATATTTAAGGTTTTACTTAAAGATTTCTCATGTGAAATAATGACATGCTTGCATACGTCTAGGTGCTAATTTGTTTCTAAAAGCTTAGAAAGAAAATTTTGCGGTACAGGTAAGAGAGGAAAGCATGACATTGGCTACTGAGAGCTGCAGGACCTCTGAGGCCCTGGGGTGGCTGTGGTCACCTGCCCAGGAGTCCAGAGCGACAGAGACAGGGCAGGGGCAGAATCCTGACTTCTTAACTATGCTAAAGAGCAGCTTCTTAAAAGAGGAGTTTTTTTTTATAAATTTGTTTCAGATTTATAACCTACTGGTGTTTATCACCCCACCGCCACATGTTAAGCAACCCAGTAAAACAATATCATGAGTGAAAATGAACATACAAAAGAAAATTTGATTTCTTCTCTAAACCAGTATCAAAGGTGACCATTAAAATTTTTTTCCCATGGCCAGCTATATTTTTCAGTATTATGGAGAAATTATGAAATTTGGATTGTTTCCATTCATTTTTGACAGCAGGTTCTTATTTTTATTTGTGTATTTTCTGTACAATTACACACTAAGGTTTTTTTTTAGCTAATGGGATTCTCTAGCATAAAATAAAGTTGCTAATGCAATACATTTGCTGTCTCTTTTAAAGAAAGAAGACTAGATTTATATAAATCAGTTAATCATTTTTTTCTTTCTGATACTGGGAATTGAACTCAGGACCTTGTATTTGCCAGGCAGGAATGGTGCCACTGTGATATCTCCCTGGCCCCAGTTAATCATTTTAATGATTGTCCTTTTTGTACTCATGCTGGGTGGATATGTGTACACATAATTTTTTCTCAAACTATTTTAGAACTTATCCTGTATTTGTCCTCAAACTAATTGATGAGTCTCATTTATTTCGCACTTTGTTTTTGACAGGAAGTAGACTGCTCAAGCATCTCTCTTACCAAGTAATGTTTTGCTTCTTTAAAAAAGTCAAATTGTCTTAGTTACTTTTTACTTGTTGCTGAGACAAAATACCTGATGCCCAAAGTTAAGGAAGGAAAGGTTTATTTCTTACAGTTCTCAGAAGTTTCAGTTCATACTCAGTGGTTTCCAAGTGGCAGGGTGGCATGGTGGGCTGCCATTCATGGCCAGCTGCAAACAGCAAGTATGAGTTGGCAAGAGAGAGGAGAGAGACAGAGAGAGAGAGAGAGAAAGAGAGACCTTCCACTGTTGCATCATATCCTGGCTCCACCCCAAGGTGGGTGT